AGAGAGAGAGAGAGAGAGAGAGAGAGAGAGAGAGAGAGAGAGAGAAGAATGGTAAAGCTTGGAGAGAATGAATAGCCTTTGCTGCAGCTAATTTTCCTGCAAAGGAAAACATATTTCTTTGAACAAATAAATCAAATTATCCTATATTTAATATAAACTAGACAACATATTTCCTTTACTGAAGGGAAATTATAAAGCTGGAAGCAATAGTAATATAAAAAGTTGAAGATTAGATTCTGATTTTATGATTCTGTAAGAATTATATGGTCGGCTCTCTATGAAGTTATTAAAAAGACTTCACTGCTTTCACATATACTAAAACATTGTCATACAATAAAAAAATATGAGAGACCTTAATTTGGATAGCACAGGTGACCTGTGCTTAAGTCACTTATTAACAGTGATGGAATCCTGTGCTTGGCTTCTTTGAATCCCATGTCTTCATATGTAAAATGGAAATACTAAAAACTACTATTCTCTGGTCACCTTTCTGCATTCCTGCAAATGACAAATGACTTAATGTCTAGAAAGTGCTCTATGCAAATGGACATATCCTTATGGATTAGTGCGTTAATAACTATTTTTCAAACATGTACCTTGGCCTTAGACACTGTCTCTACATTACTGGCGAGGTCATCGATCTCCATCTTCATCTCACTCTTCTCCTTCTCCAGCTTCTGCTTGACCCGCTGCAAGTTGTCAATCTGCTCCCCGAGCTCAGCCACGCTGTCCGCGTGCTTCTTCCTCAGGGTGGCCGCTGTGGCTTCATGCTGCAGGGTGGCCTCCTCCAGGTCCCTGCGCATTTTCTGGAACTCAGCCTCTCTCTTCTTGTTCATCTCGATCTGGGCTGAAGTGGCCCCGCCAGCTTCTTCCAGCCTCTCGCTGATCTCCTCCAGTTCCCGGGAGAGGTCAGAGCGCTGCTTCTCTGCTTTGGCCCTGGAGGCCCGTTCTGCCTCGATTTCCTCCTCCAGCTCCTCGATGCGGGCCTGGGGGTGGTGGAAAAGACCAACTCAGCTTCTTGGGTCAGTTGTTTATCTTTTACTGATGAATTAGACTGATGGAAGCCATGGACCTACCTGCAACTCCTTGATCTTCTTCTGCAGTTGAATGCCGATGGCCTGCTCATCCTCAATCTTGCTCTGCAGGTTGCTCATTTCAAACTCTTTCCTTAAGGAAAAGAAACACAATGTAGAAATTCCATTTGTAGGCAGCTGGAAGCAAAGCCCTGAGCCATTCTTTCCTGCTTACTTTTTGAGCCTTTCATCAAGCTGCTGTTTCTCATTTTCAATGTCCATGATGGACTCCTGGGCTAACTTCAAGTCACCCTCAAGTTTTCTCTTGGCTCTTTCTAGGTCCATGCGAAGTTTCTTTTCTTGCTCCAAGGACCCTTCAAGCTAGATGAATGTAGTGTTTGGGTCAGAAGAAATGTATAGTTTCCTTTAGAAGGAAATCATTCCCTTGGTAACGCACAACTTACATCATCTACTTGCTGTTCAAGCTTGATTTTGGCTTTGGTCAGGGTGTTGACTTTGTCCTCCTCTGCCTGCAGGTCATCCAGGGTCTGCTGGTGGGCCTCCTGGAGGGCCTTCTTCTCCTTGGTCAGCTTGGCAATGGTTTCATCCAGGCCTGCCATCTCCTCTGTGAGGTTTTTCACCTTGGAAACAAACGTGCTTTGCATTAAATGTTAGGTTTTAATAGATTCTGTTTTATGCTTTACTTCTTAATTAAAATGAGTCATAAGCTTCCCATGTATACATCTCATACCTTGTTCTCCGTGGCGTGCTTCTCCTTCTCAACCTTGGCCAGTGTCAGCTCAAGGTCATCGATGTCCTTCTTCAGCTCTGAGCACTCGTCCTCCAGCTTCCTCTTCTTGGCTGTGAGCTCGGCGTTGATCTCCTCCTCGTCCTCGGCTCTCTCGGTCACCTCTTTGATTTTGGCTTCCAGTTGGATTTTGGTTTTGATCAGCTGGTCACATCTTTCTTCTGCATCAGCCAAGCCTTCAGCTTCCTGGAGTTGTCAATATAATCAAAATTAGGGAGAAATAATAAAATATATTGCCATAGTAAGAGTTTAACGTTTTTGAGTTGGTCTACTGCATTTCTTATGTTTATTTATCTATTCAAGGATTTATGTTTCATAAACCACCTACTATGTACAATGCTTTTTGCATATGTGAGGAAAACAATCTATGTTGTTTCCTCTCCTTTATGACAATGTGTTTTATAATAGATTAGAACACTCTTAAAGGCTGCCATTAATTTAAAACAAAACTCATAATATTGGACATCAAACACATTGGTTCCCTGATGCATTCATGAAATTCGTTTTCAAGCTGACCCTTGTGAGATGGGTAGGAATGAAGTGTATAAAAATAATCTTATAGGGAAAGCAGCAGGAGGGAGATAGGGGAGCATTTATTCAGAGAAATCCTCTGTGAGGATGGTTCTACTTTACAAATGATGTATATAGATATATGATATACAGATAGTATATATGATATACATATGATGTATACATGTTAATGATCCTGTAGCATCATCCTTTAAATGCCTAAGAGACTGTGATATGCCCCATGTCATGAATTCACCTGAGTTAATGGGATCTGAGTAACTGGGGAGAATAGGAAGAAATAATTAGGTGCAGATTTGAAGGAAGCAGAAAGAAGATGTGTGTGTGTGTGTGTGTATGTGTGTGTGTGTGTCCTGTAATGCACAAAATTGTACCAGACCAAGTCAGTTTAACCTAAATGGAAGCTTGTCTTGTAAATTATATTCCCAGATCAATAGAAGGATTTCTAAGATGGCCTGGCCCAGAAGTGAGTAGTTAGTAAATTTTGTAGAATAAAAACTGGGAGAAGGCTTAGAAGCTAAGACAGAGTTATGAGTGTGGTACAAAAGGCAACTGTCCATGGAGATGGAAGAAATAACAGGCTTGACAAACAATAATTCAGTAAAATCTGGTATAGAACATTGTTGTCCATCAGATGTTCATATGGTAATGTGAAGCCAATGATGACAAGATGTTCAAGAACATTTGAAAGAAAAAATCTCTTCATATCATCTTTCTCTTAATACATTATTTGGGTTATGTTAATCAATTTTGAGGACTACCTTAAAGTTGAAAAGAAGCCACAATTCCTATAGACTGATAAAATTGTGTAGATTGGAAGAAGACAGACAGTTCTACCTCATTGACATGATACTGGTTTGGGGATGTTTATTGAGTAGTGAGAGAAATGTGTCTAGTTAGAGTCTTTATCCATCTCTGTACAATGAGTGCCTCCCTGTCAATGATACATCTTACTTATCATGGCCAGAGCACCAGCACTTAACCTTGATTAGTGATACCCACAGAAGAGCCCCAGCTTACAGCCTGAACTTGGAGTTGCAAGTCATTCTTTTCTTTCAACAGGGACACCATCTTTTCTTCTAGTTCCTTTCTCTTTGCCTCTGACTTGGCAAGGTCATCTTTGGTTTTCTGGAACTCCTCCTTCATGGTGGCCATCTCCTTCTCGGTCTCTGCGCTCTTCAGCAAGGGCTTGATCTTGAAAAAGAGTTTCATCCAGGGCCAGTGCTTGACATTCATGAAGGCACGGATATTGTACTGGATGCAGAAGATGGACTCCCTGAAATGCAGCGGTTGCTAATTAAATACAGTGGATGATGAAGCGAGTGTAAATTTCAGGAGTGAGGATTGAAACTCCTGTCCCCTTCCATCCCACCACATTCTTTATTTGCACTCAACCTTGGAGACTAGAAAAGTTGTATTTCATGGCGATGCTCAAGGACTTATACCCATTTATTTCTCTATACCATTGTGTCTCAACCTTGGATGTGGTTGAGATCACCTGAAGAGCTTGTTAAAAACACTGACTTTTGACTTCCACTTTCAGAGATCTGATTCAGAATATTCAGCCCAGACATGAAATTTTGCATTTTAATAAGATCCCAATGACACAAATTGAGGGTTGCCCTTTGAGAGGCATTGCTGTTTATCAGTGCTTCAAATACACCCATGAAAGTAACATAGGACAGTGGAAGGGGCCATGGGCCTTAAAAAAGGTGATGTGGGAGACTTTAAAAGTCAGATTTTTTGGACAGTCTCTAGTTTTACATTTTAGTATTGTATGAATGCAGCATTCTGGTTTATAATGTTAATCCTTTTTTGCCTTAATCTAGACTATTTAAAAATTATTGACCATCATATATAGGTAGTTAGCTACTCAAATATAGCATAGTGACTATGGTCAGAAAGATGATAACTTCAAGTGATAAAAGTTGTCTCATGCAACCTGTTTGTGTGTGCACACAGACTTGTTCATGTGTGTGTGTGTGCACAGGTAGCCATGTATAATGCACTTCTCATTTCTGGTCCCGAGACATCAAGCTCTGTCATGTATTAATTCTTCAACTTGACTGCCAGGGAGTTAATTAACTCCTTTGATGGCGTTGTAGTAACTTATTGTGAAAAGTTCTTCACAAGTGCCCTATTTTAGGTTATGATAGTTCAATAATAGAAATAATCCAACTGAAGAAATAGTTTATATACTACATAAAGCCATTTTTTTGAAATTACTATACATTTTTAGGTCCTCTGTTTAATGATATGTCTAACAAAGCCTCGTCAAGAATAAATAAAAGGGCAAAAATTTATCTCTACCTACTACACAATGGTGTGTTTTTTCAGTGTTAGGTAAAAGACTATCCATGCCTGATGCTTCTCAAGTTTTCACTCAGGCACTCAGGATATATTCCATGCTGACAGAACGTAGGTTCTCCTATTTTCCCACAGAAGTCTATTTATTCCTTCTTACTTTGATCTTCTTATCAGAACCAAGTCCCAACTGTTGGCCACCTTGAGTGTATTTTTGAAGACAAAACATGTGAATAAACTATGAATTTTTATACCTTCTCTCCACCATCTTCTGGTACTCCACTCTCGCCAAAAACCCTCTGCACATGGCCTGGGTCCGGGTAATAAGCTGGGCCAACTTGTCATCTCTCATCTCCTCTAGGAGCCCCAGAAGACCAGCTTTGAAAAAGACCTGTGTGCAGGCAATGTTGCAGATCAGAAGCGTCACACAAAGTTCAAAGGGCAAGAAGACACGAGATTGGATTTCAAGAGGATTACCTTGGTGTGACCAAACTTATATTGAGTGTGGTCAATATCAATGGAGCCAAGCAGCTTCTCAGAAGCCTTCTTGCTATCGATGTACTGACCCTCAGGGATGGCACTTGCATTTAACACTTTGTATCTGTTAAAATAAATGTACTTTGTAAAGGTTTGATTTACAAACGGTAGCCAAATTCTAAATGATTTGTTTTTTTTAAAAAATAAAAGTTTATTTAAGAATTATTGTTCTGTGTTCACGTAGGAACATTATTTCCATATTTTCAACCTATTTGCTATATATTTTCATACCATCATCGCTTCCTTTATATTTAAATCTTTTTTTTTGACAAAGTACACACATATAGCTATGGCTGTCCTAGCTGTCCTCACTATGTAGACTAGACTAGCCTCAAAGTCACAGAGACCCACCACCTCTGCCTCTGGAGTGGACAACCCCACTCTTCCTGTTCCTTTCTTTTTTATCAGACTCTGTCCTCAAAGAAGGATCACATGATCTTGTTCACATTGAAGAGTAGAGGACCTATGCAATATAATATGCTATCACAGCTTGATAAATTTACTTTAAAGGAAGACACTAGGTCCAAGAAGTCTATGTTTTTAAGTTAATGAATATAGAAGCATTATTAATTAATATTAACTAATTACATTAATTAATTAGTATTAATTAAAGAAAATAATCCATGAATTTAAGAAGGAAAAGGGAGGTAGAACATGGGAGGAACAAGAGGAAGGAAAGGGAATAGAGAAAAGGTATAGTTATATTTTAATAATAAAAAAAAGTTAAGGAATATAATAGATGATATTTTAGGTATGGGGAATTATCCTAACGGCCTAAGAGCAAACCTTGGGTGCCCTCGGGGCTTGAGCACTGCTACTTTCCATCAACTTAACCAGCTCTAGACTTAAAGGAGACCGGTGTCCTACAGCTGCCACCCAGAAGTCATTCTCAACTCTCAAGAACAGCTTATCAGGGAGGAGAAAAGAATTCTAACTAAGGAGTTGCCACTGTGATATGTCCCCTCTTATTCTGGGGAACTGGGAAAGAAACCTGCAAGAGAAAACTGAAATCAAGATGTCCTATTTGTAGCTCTATGCGCAACATGCCACTCCAGGGACCTATTAGCTTTGACTTTAAGCAAATAATTTGATCTCCCTGAACGCTGCTTCATTTATTCAGAAAATGAGGTCATAGTTCTTCTTATCTCAACCTCATGATGGTTGGGGTTAAATGAGATCAAGAAGTGAAAAAGACAGCTCTCCTAGTCACTGATGTCAGGGAATGTATCTATGAGCCTCCATAAACCCAGTGGAAATTTTGCATATAATGCTTAACATCTTTTTAATGTGTTGTGAGACTCAGAATCTTCAGTCCTTTTGTGGCTAATTAAATAGAGACATGCTTTTCCCTAAATTGTTTTGCTTACATCAAACCTGTTTATACTAAACATCAAAGACAGATCATAATTAGAAGGCTGACCTCTGCTTGAAGTCTGCATAGAGGATCCTGCTGGGGAACCCCTTCCGGCAGATGCGAATGCCTTCCAGCACCCCGTTACACCTCAGCTGGTGCAGGACCAGTTCGTGCTCCATGGCACCTGCAAATGCATGTTTATTTTACAGTGGAATACAACACAGGAGATGTGACAGCTACGCTCTGTGCTTTCACTCTAGAGACTCTTACCAGGAGTCTTGGTCTCATTGGGGATGATACACCTCACAAAATGAGGATGGGTGCTCCTGAGGTTGGTCATCAGCTTGTTCAAATTCTCCTGTAAGAGCAGGGAACTTTGGTCAGAATAGCAGCAGAGGGAAGAGCAATTGATGACATCTGTAAAAATCAGTCTGTGGCACGTGTGTGTGCACACTCGTATACGTGTGTGTGTGTGTGTGTGTGTGTGTGTGTGTGTGTGTGTGTGTGTACATGTATACCAATCCTGTGAAGCTTTAGGCCAACCTTGGGTATCAGTCCTTTGGAATCTTCCACCTTGTGGTTGAGACAGAGTCTCTCACTGGACTAGAAGTTTGCCACATTGGCCAGAGCTTGCTGGCCTGGGATCTTCCAAGGCTACATTTATCTCTGCCTCCCATCTCACCATTGGTGGGGTTGTAGGAGCACACCACCATGCTTGTTTTTTTTTATGTGGATCCTGAGAAACTAAACTCATATCCTCACACTTGCAAGACAAGTACCTTACTGACCTAGCTACCAGCCTTGGCCCAGGAGAAGCAGCTCTCATTTAAAGAAGAAAACCTTTGTTGCTTCTGCTGAACTGTAGACTCTTCCTCAGTCCACCTGTCTGCATTCTTGTTAGCAGGGGAGAGGAATGTGGGGAAGCCTGACATGTACTTTCTTTCACTTTGTACTAACATTGTCTTCCTGTCTTCTCTGACCTTTGATCACCCATTACCTACGAGATCAGTAGTAACCTGTGTGTTGCAAGTCTTTGGGGGTTACATATCAGATATTTACATTATGATTCATCACAGTAGCAACAAAGATAATTTTATGGTTAGGGGTCACCACAGCATGAGGACCTGTATTATACAGTCACAGAATTAGGAAGGTTGAGAACCACTGAGCTAGATGGTGCCTCTATCTCTAGTTCTTCGATAAGGAAATGCAATCCTGTACCATATTTGGGCCTTGGATAGTTTTTTTACAGCTCCATCCACAATATAATAACTTTATAAATTAGTGTTTTCAACTGAATGGATCAGTAGCAACAATATTATATTAGCTTCATCTTAGGTTAGCTGCTAGGTTGTATTAATATTTCTTTGTTTTGATGTTAATTTAGTTTGGGCTTGCAGTCATTAGAATATTCTCAAAAATGTATCACAGACTGTTTTCAAGTTTTCAATCCTCCTGCTTCTGCCTCCCAAAGATTACAGGACTGCAACACCACAACTTCCAGGTTCCTTAGTCTTACTGATATTCTCTTAATAGTTCTGTACATTGCTTTGGTCCTTGTCACGCAACTAGTCTGTGAATGGTGGATCATTGTGTTTTGTAAGATTTCCAAGGAGGTGCCCTTCATTCTATGGTGACTTAGCATGAGAGGTGAGATAAGACAGTATCTGGATGATTTAAATTTCTTCCACTACAGATTAATCAAAGTCTTAAATGTCAACCCTTTCCTATAATCTTCTGGAAAATGTGATCTCATACTTCTAGAGCCAAATTCCTAAAGCAATTGGGGATGTTACAGTTTGTTCTTACTCTGAACAGGGCAGACACGGTCTGGAAAGAGGACCCCTTCTTCTTGGCACCTTTCTTGGCAGCTCCACCGCCACTTGCCTCTGAAGAAGGAAAAGGATAGTTTTGTTCCAATACAGTCAGTGACCTCCCTCTCACTGATTTCTGTGCTCTTGATACTCAAATCAAACTTTCCTCCACCCCAGGAACTTCCCCCTACTCCACTGGCCCGCTTGAAACTTTGGTTTTTTAACTAAGTTTACACCCACTTTTCTGTGGTTCCTTATCTACATGGAGTTAGTATAAACACCAGTCATCTAACCATGAAGAGACAGACCTTCTGATATTGATACTTGGCACACAGTGATTTAAAATATCATCAGCAGAAGTTAATGCTGGAGACAAAATTTGGTCAGTATATTGTCTGTAATATGCCCAAACACTTCACAATCAGTAGAGTGGGAGGAAGATGAGAGGTTTTCAGAATCCCAGGCCTTTTTTGGTTGAGAGCCTCAAAGTACCTTTCTGGCCATTGTGATAATGGTCTCTTTTAGTAGAGAAGTGAATTACAAATTTCTAACTACAGCACAGTCTACTACTCAAGGAATTAAGAGTTTGGCATGCCACCCTTCTGGCCAGACCATCTTACAAGCCTCAACCTAATAGCTCAGTTATAATAGCTACAGAAAATTAAGGCTTTGAAGCTTTACCTGCTTCCGCAGTTTGAGCCCCAGAGAAGAGGTAAGCCAGAGTTTTCATTGAAGACTTCTGGTACAGCCCCACCACAGTCTCATTCAAGGGGTCCTTGTTCTTGTCCAGCCAGCCAGTGATGTTATAGTCCACGGTACCCGCATAGTGAATGAGGGAGAAGTGGGCTTCAGCCTTGCCTTTGACCACTTTGGGCTTCTGAAAGTTGGCAGACTTTCCAAGATGTTGTTCATACAGCTTGTTCTTGAAGGAGGTGTCTGTCGCCTTGGGGAACATGCACTCCTCTTCCAGGATGGAGAAGATGCCCATGGGCTAGATTGAAGGTGAGGCAAAGCAGCTGAGTGAATAAGAGCAGAAAGTACATGGGAAGGAGACACAGAGCAGCGGAGTAGTGGGATACCTTCTCGATGAGCTCGATGCAGGCCGCCAGGTCCATCCCGAAGTCGATGAAGGTCCACTCGATGCCTTCCTTCTTGTACTCCTCCTGCTCCAGCACGAACATGTGGTGGTTGAAAAACTGTTGCAGTTTCTCGTTGGTGAAGTTGATGCACAGCTGCTCCAGGCTGTTAAACTAAATAAGAAGATGTGCTTATTTCTCTCTGAAATTAACTGGACATTTTATTTAAAATAAATTATAGATGAATGTCAATGTCATTGGTCAGAAGAGCCCTTTTTTACCATACAAAACAAAAAAGTAAGGAAGGTTTGAGGCATGTAGAAGTCACTGTTTATTGCCATTTTACAGAAAGTCTTAAATCATCACTAATACTCTTAGCTTGAATTAGCTTAAATTCAGAAGTTTTTTTTCCCTGAGTTTCTACTTAACCTCCCTCTATTTATTCCTGTTGCCCCTATGGCTTCCAGAGGCCTCATCCAAACTCTCAGTCCGTAAAATGTTGGTTCAGAGCTTGCACTGCAGGAATATCACTGTGGTGGGCATTTCAAGTGACTAGTAATTTGTCCTTTAATGTGGAATGGAAACAATAAACAAGACACAAAAGATCACTAAAATAGAACAGGGCACATTTATATCTCTAGAAGCCCTACCAAAATGTCAAATGAAGTAGCTATACTTAGAGTTATGTGCTTTTCCTTGCTTTTCTATATTTTCTGTTAAAGCCGAGTTTTATTGTAATAATCAGAAGAGATGATAAACTTTTAAAAAGCTCTGAGCAGGGAAATGTATTTCATGATCAAATAGAAAATTTTATTTCATGATATTACATTAACAAGCATTAAAATTTAATTGCATTTAATTAATGATGATTCTAAATTATTAAGTCTTTTACAGGCTTTATTATCTCCCTAAGTATTTCTCAGTGATTTCTCCACTGTATGCTCCAAGCATATTATATGTTACTAAGTTCTGCTTTGCTATTTAATATCAGATTCCTTTAGACCATGCGATTTTTAGAGCCCTTCCCTTTTCACAAACTAACTCCCTCTATCCTGCAGTGAGTTGAAGGGTCTTCATTACACAAGTTGTTTGTCATTTACTATAGGAAATGGCTAATAGGTGCCAAGAAAATCTCCTTTATGTCTTCATATAACAGACAATGGCAAGGAAGTTTCCTAATATTCTTCCTTAGTAATGTAGTCTTAGCTATAAAGATGTTCCATCAATTAGCTTGCAACTTACATCAAAGATCTCAAAGCCAGCAATGTCCAAGACTCCAATGAAGTACTGCCTGGGCTGCTTGGTGTCCAGCTGCTGGTTGATGCGGGTGACCATCCACAGGAACATCTTCTCATACATGGCCTTGGCCAGGGCACCCACAGCATTGGTCACCTTGAAAGATGATGATAGAACTCTTGATGTTACATAAGAAAGGTTCAATGCTTTGATGCTCTTGTGGTGGTTATTAATTTCATGCTTACCTGCTCAACAGTCTGGCCTTTGGTGACATACTCATTGCCGACTTTGACCCTGGGGTAGCAGAGGGCTTTGAGCAGGTCAGCAGAGTTCAGACCCTGAAGATAGGCAGCCTTGTCAGCAACTAAAAGAAAGCATGGACACAATAGTATTAGGATACAAAGAAACCCGTTTTCTTAAAAAAATAAAATAAAATAAACTTCATCTTCAAGCATGTTGTGTAGTTTTCAGTTCCTTTTTTTAATAATCTTGCCTACATTTTTACTGAGTTCAAGACCTTGACTACCCCAAATGATGTCTGTGCTTCACATAGCATATTGTTTCAGTGCTCTATAAAGCTCAGATATGAAATGTGAGTTTGCCTTCTTAGGAAAACTCAGAATAACACGTTAAGAACCCAAGCTTCAAATGAAACACGACGTCAGGTGGAAGATGCAGCTGGTACCTTCAGTGCCATCTGGCTCAGCTTGCTCCTCCCGCTGCTTCTGCTTGAACTTCATGTTCCCATAATGCATCACGGCTCCCGTGAGCTTATAGATGGAGACCTTTTCATCATTTGTAAAGCCCAAAATGTCAATAGCACTCTGCCAACAAAGTCAAGATGAGAGCTGTTAGGTTATGGCCTGATACTTACAGCTCACGTTCCCATCCCTCACTGGCTTGGTCAAGCTGAGGAAATAACACCAGAACTACTGGAGGGAAGGGGCTTCTTTAGCAGGAGTGTGGAAAGGATGCTCACTCGAGAAATGAGTTTATAGATTTATGTCTTCTCACGTGTCAAAAGGAAGATCAGGAGAAAACATTGTAAACCTCAGACACTTATTATTTTTGAGAAGTCACATCTCAGCTTCATCAAAGTCTTCTGCAAACTCTGAGGTGATGGAATCTTAAAAGCCTGTGGAGGGACAGCATCTGAGCCCAGGGAGCCAATGTTTTCTTAACACCCTCCACTCTTTGCTGTTTCTTCTGAAGACTCTGAATAGTTATCTTAGTGAACCACATCTCTGACCCTGCGCATCTTAAACCTTGCTCTGTGTTCTGCTTACATCCGTAGCCATCAGTTCTTCCTGGTCATCAATGCTGGCCACACTGATCTCCCCTTGGCTGACAAACGGGTAATCATATGGGTTTGTGGTGATCAGCAGCATTTCTAAATACATGGAAGAAAGCAAAGATGAGCATAATCAATGTCGTCATCAAAGCAAGAGATTTCCAGACCAATCCTAAGGTAACTACTTGATACATGGGTGAAAGACTGACGAGCGCTAAATACCTTGAAGATGGTGGCATGCTGTTCCCTGTCATTGACTAGATTTTAAACACCACCATGATTATAACAAATGGTATGCATGTGTGAAATTTTCAAAGAATAAAGAAAAGGTTTCCTCCTACTGCCATAGTCTTTATTGTAGTGGCTATTTAAAAACCAGAAATGGAAGCAAATTTCTGAGGCATTAGAGGGGAAAGGATATGATTAATTTAAAATTTGCCTATCTCTAGTGTGGAACACCGTGCAACCAACCACAACACCATGCAGTAATAATAATATGAATAAAACTGAGACATTCAGTAAATATATATAAATTATGAAAGTGTTACCATTACTCCAACTGGGTAAAGTATATGCGTTTATCTATATGTAACAATATGCCCATAGAAGGTGAATGGGATGGTGTTTATGTAAGTGTTCATAACAGTTACTTCACAGTAGAAATTGGAGATAGTTTTTCACTTTTCCTTTGATTTCTTACGAATCGTTATAATAAGCAAATATAAATTCTAACAAACCTACAAAGCTTTCCTTTTTTTTTTTTTTTTTTTTTTTTTTTGGTTCTGAGGTTTGAACTTAAGCTCAGCTCAGAGCACTACAATTACTCCTGGAAAGCTTTTTTATTTTCCATTAAAAAATAAAAAAGCTGGACAGGATTCAGACATGGTGCATCAGGTTGGGCAATGCCCTGGCTGGTGTGGTGACTAGTGTGGGGAGAGGGACTTTGGAGAGTAATTATGACATCCCTTACCGATCAGCTCTGGCTTCTTGTTGGATGTGATCTGATAAAATATATGGTAGCTTCTTTCCGCCTTGAGCTGGAAAGTGACCCGGGACTTCTCTAGCAGATCTAGAAGAAAGCAGATTGCAAGCAGGAAAACTGTGAAAGCTGACAGGGCGCACAGGTTTGGGTGTTGGGCAACTTTAGCAGTCCTGAGGACAGAATGGGGCTGCAGGGGAACACTCACAGGTTTCGATGTCAGCAGACGCCAGTTTCCCCGTAGTGCCAAAGTGGATCCTGATGAATTTACCCTTGAAAGGAAAACTAACATGTCTACTTTGTTTTCAAGAATATCAAATCATTGAAAATGCTCAAAAACACTTGGAACAATACTGCTTTAATTTTAAACCAAGTCAGACTATCTTCTATTTTACAAGTAGAAGGATTTAAGAATTTATGAATATAAATATACAAGGTGATGCTATATTAATTAGTTTAGATTAATTATCCCACAATGTTTAAATATATTAAAACATCCCATTGTGTTCCATAAATATATGCAGTTATTGGTAATTAAAATTAAAGATAAAATATCTTGCAGTAGTAGTAGCTATAATAATAATAATAATAAAATACTCCAAAAAGGAGTCACATGTCCTTCTGGCCAGAGTTTTTTGATCTTCGAAATAAGCCAAAGAAAACCACAGTATAATATAATGTGAATAAAGATTCAAAGACTATATCAGAGACTTCCAGCAGATTTTGGACAGTGGACAGTACCCATCCAAGTGTACAAGAGACTCACAAAGCGAGACGAGTTGTCGTTCCTCACAGTCTTGGCATTCCCAAATGCCTCCAGCAGGGGGTTGGCACTGATGATTTGATCTTCCAGGGTCCCCTGCAAGGGAAAGATCAGACCTTGCTTATCAGGCTCAAAGATTTCCTTCCAGGGAGACCCTCCCAAAAAAATTTGAACTCTGTGGCAGTCACCCTCACCTGCATTTTGCCAGAAGTCGCCTCCTCCTTCTTTTTCTCCCCAGTAACTGCAATTGTTGCAAAGTACTGGATGACACGCTTCGTGTTCACAGTCTTCCCAGCCCCGGATTCTCCGCTGTCAAATCAAAACAATCAGAGGAGACTCCACATCGAGCAGCTTCCAGAGCCACGAAAAGAAAGCCTAAAACCCTACTTACGTGATCAGGATTGACTGATTCTCCCGGTCTGCGAAAAGAAATTGCAGGCACTTAATGTTGTTTCAAACCCACTTGTAAATGGTTAGAATGATATCAGGGCTTGAGATTTCTATTTCTCTGTTTAGCAGCCTTAGTGCCTGGTGTACAGTGACCTAACATCTCCCTTCTCTTATCTTCCCGTACTTAGTGCACATACAACCGTTTAAACCAAGTGAAACCATTCATGTCTTCCCAGAACATTACAGTCAAGGGGGAAAATCCTATGATGAAAAAATTGTCTAAAAGCCTTGGTAGAAGGGAGACTACACTGAGTTTTCCTGAGACACAAGGCTCTCTTTCTAATCTACTACTAAATCAATATCTAAACTAGACTTGGCTTGTCCATCCCAGTTTGATGACAATTTAAACTAGTGACACATTCATGGTGGACAAAGGGACAAATGCCAACTGGGACATTGGAAATATTTTGATGCATGGGGAGTAGTAAAGGGTGGGAAGGTGGAAGCGTTGACAGTACACAATGCTTCACCACACTTTTAAAGGAAAGCAAGAGCTGAGACGCCTCACTCAGGTTAAAGAATTCTCCAAGCCATTTCCAAAGGGGCCACAAGTATATAAGCTCAACCTAGCTGAGTGAAACACCATAGAGGTGGAGTCACAGTATAATGTCCTAGTATGAGATATGTCTTAAAATCTCACTGGTTGGTTCTGGCAAAGGCAGCACCTTGTATACTGTTGATGGTAATCTTTGATACTAAGGAGAAAAACCACAAAAGAAAAGCTTGTTCTCCTGCATTTTCCCGTACAGTACCAGTCTGTATGTGTGGCTGTGTCTATGTGTGCACATGTATATCTGCACATGGATGCTTGTCTTTTCATGTTCATAAGTCTCACTGCAAGTAATCTTTTGTTGACCTTTAAACATTAAAGAGCTCATTGGTCATTCTGTATTATCTCACACACGCTCCTGTGGGAGGGATCATCTCAAGGGGAGTGGTGCAATTGATTGGGGACTTTCTTTAGAGATCCACAGTGAAAAGTTTAGGCACATAAAAAATAGCCAAGCCACTTACCAGTTAGCATGAACTGGTAGGCGTTGTCAGAGATGGAGAAGATGTGGGGCGGAGCCTCCTGGCGCTTTTTGCCTCTGTAGGCCGCCACCACTTCAGGGTTGTACACCGGCAGCCACTTGTAGGGGTTAACGGTGACACAGAAGAGGCCTGAGTAGGTCTGCATAAGGAAAGAGAGAATTACAATCTAAAGGTCCTTCTTGTCTGTGCAACTCACTTAGTTGGATTTTAAGAAAAAGAAGGACTTTTGTGAATACATTTCTCCCAGGCATCAGCATGGAAACTGATTGGTTGGCAGACAGCAACATCTTTGAGGGCAATGACCAGTTCAGAGTTCCTACTGCTTCCCTTGGGACTTGCCATGGTTTTCACACAGCAGGAGTGTCAACTCCATATCTGTCTGTTTGTTTTAGTGTGGACTATGAGAGATGTTTTTGTTGTTGTTTGAAAGAAACAGGAATATATTTTATTTGCAGAATTGAGACACTTTGAATTTATAAGAACATAAATTTGAACATAAATGTGTTCAACAGTAAGAGAAGGATGGGGAGTTTGGAATTTTTTAAGACAACATGATAAAAGCCTTTCAAAAGTGAGTGGGCCAGTAGGTAGATATGGCGGCATTGGGAAACACTGTAAAGTATTTTTTAGTTATACAGTGACAAATAAAGTGCATGACAATTAAATGCAGGAATTAAAAGTTGTCTGTCAACTGGTGAAGGACTGTCCACTAACCAATTAAAGTGACTATGAAGCATAAACACCTGGTATACCATTGTGGGTGTTGCCCAGATGAATATCAGAACTGGCTAAACTGTGTAAAAATATGAATATAAGATATATCACATTCAAATGTTTATTGGATATATATTATATTCTAGGACTCCGCAAGGATGTCAGACTAAAACATAAATAAGGTAGAGTCCTTTGAGAAATTCCCAGTCAACACAGTAGATGGGGAAGTTAATGGATGACCAGGAAAGACATAGTCAGTGTGAATGCAGGAATGGGAAGAGAGGGGCAGAATACCCAAGGCTACCTGGGGATGCTGGAAAGGCCCCACAGATGAAAGGAACTAGAACACAGAGACTCTGGTATTGTCGTGTGCAGAGATTTAATCTCAGAATGAAACTTAACCCCTAAAAATTCCATGTTTAAATGTTTCATAGTGTTTATCTTTCCTTCATTGAGATGATTCTGCAACAGCAATTGACAGGAAAGGGAAGGAAAGGCAGGGGAGGAGAGAAGAGGGGAAGAGAGAGGAAGGGAGAGGAGGAAAGAGAAAGGAAGGGGAGAGGAGGGGAAGGAGAGGGGAGGGGAGGGAAAAGAAGGGGAGGGGAGGGGAGGGAAGGGAAGGGAAGAGGAGGCATTAGCACGTTTAATCAACAGATCTGTGATAAAGCCAGTGGCCAGAAGGACAATGGCCTTCCCTTGGGAAAGAAGACATGGTGTTACTTGTGGGATGTGCCTTACAGTCTCAATAATGAACCTTTTAATAACTAGTAATTCTGCTAGTGACTTCTAGTGACTGAGAGATACTTAGGGCACCTTTGTGCCTCATCTTTTAGAGCACATGGTGATGACACGAAAGACCCCTGGTGTGGGTCACTCACGTAGATCATCCAGGCTGCATAACGCTCTTTGAGGTTGTACAGCACAGCGGGCTCGTGCAGGTGGGTCATCATGGCCATGTCCTCGATCTTATCGTACTTGGGAGGGTTCATGGGGAAGATCTGGTCTTCTTTCACTGTCAGGGTCTGGTAAACAGGAAGACTGGTGTCAAGTGAGTGAGTGATCAACCCTACAAAACGCAGCACAAATGTAACAGGTACAACATGGCACGCTCTCTACACACCGCTCCTGCTTCGGTTTTCACGGTCACTTTCCCTGCATCTTTGCTCTGAATGGTTCCTTTGACAAAGGATTCCTTGGGCTCCGCCACAAAGACAGATGTTTTGGCATCAAAAGGCCTATTCTGGGCCTCGATTCTCTCCTTTTCAGACTTCCGGAGGTAAGGAGCAGCCTCCCCGAAAACGGCCATCTCAGCGTCGGAACTCATGGCTGCTGAACTCACAGACCCTAAAGGGGATAAAAAAAAATTCACACAGTCTGCAGTGCCTGGTATAACAGATCTTTGTACAGTTATCACTATTTCATCTGTATGAATATCTTCTCTCTAAGTATGTACATTCATGCATGTACTGTATTAAAGAGTCGCAACATTAGGAAGGCTGAGAACCACTGTTGTAGTTTCTACTGCAGGGGCCCCAGTTGCAAATTACACTAGGCAATTCTACTACTACCAGGCTGCAGTGGCTGAAGCAAGCGTCACAAGAACAGAAGTGCAAGAGGTTGCAGTGATGTGTGCTTAGGGCTGGACATCCAGTATCTCCCATCCTCTGAGACTGGCATCCCAGTTGGGAAACTAGGTTATAGGTTGAGCGATGATGCCAAGGATTGTGTGACCTTGGGTAAGTCTCTTGATTAATTGGAGCCTCAGTAACTACATCTTTAGGGCAAGGATGATAATACTAACTTCTTTTTGCTTTGAAGCCCTTGGGATAGGGTGATATTTGGAAAAGTGTTAAAAAAGACTACTAAGTAATTGAAACAGGTTCAGGTTATTATTTGCATAGAAATGTCATTTACTCTATTGTCAAACATCTTTCTGGCCATATAAAGAACTACTTTATTTTCACGTGTAGATATTTGGCCAAATTTGCCCAGAGTAGTTTTGGAAGAATTTTAATTGTGTTTCTGTTTGTCCCCCCCACATCCCCCCTCCTTTTTTTTTTAAGTTGGATGCTGGGTAAAATTATTCTAACATGATGTCTTTGCACACTAAACCAAGCTAAACTCATGAAGGAGACAACCCACACCCACACTCATCTTTGTGCTTCTACATGGCAGGGATCCCAAAGGTCTAAGTTTCCTTATACAGAATGTGAAACCTGGCAGCTTGTTCCACACTGTTTCAAGGTACAGGTAGCAGAACAATACAAGGTGGGGAAGTTATCCTGTACAGTCACTGCAGGACCAAATGCTTGAAACTCCTTTAAATCTTCTCTCCCTGTCTCCCTCTACAGAGATACAGCCTGCGGTAGTAATGGGACTGCTGAATTCTTCATTTTGATATTAAAACATTTCGCTATGTTTTGGTTTTAGGAGATGACTTTTACAGGTGTATAGAAAGTTTAAAAGAACCATTGCTCTAAGTACTTCCTTTCTTTTTTGTTAGAGATTTTGATTTCTAAATGAATTCTATTGGCTTTTCTACCAAGGGGATTTTTTTTCTTGCAGAGACAAGACAAACAAAAAACAACAAACAAACAAACAAACAAACAAACAAAAACCCAACCTTTTAGAATTGATTTTGCTCACACAGAACGGATAAAAGTCCTCCTTTCCTCCCCAGCCCCTTTCCTTAAATGCAGTTGTTAGTGTTTCCTGAGACAGGCATTTTCTCAGAGGATGCTAAGTGACATGGAGCCCTCCCAGAGGCTCTCCATCACATCTTCAGGGACTGGTTAATCCAACCCTTACCTTATTGGCAAATGAGAAGGTGCAGCTGGGAAGTTAAGAGGGTCCTGTGTGAGAAAAGAGCAAGACACTTGATTAGTTGAGAAATAAATCCCACTTGCTACAGAAAATCGAAGGCACTAGGATTCACAGACGTGAAAACCAGGGGAGCTGCAGCCCGGGCAGTGACCAGTGTCCTGCTCCCACCTACCTTGGAGCTTTTTAAAGCAGGACGAGTCAGCCTTGTTCGGGACTCTTTTATATGGCTAGCTATGGAAACAATGCGACTGCCTCTTCTTTCTTAAGTCAAAAGGAATTGTCTGGCAAAAACCCTCTTGGCAATCGAGCGTCTCTGCATAATTCTCATTCATATTAAGAATGGTTGGATATAATTAGAAATATTTTTCTTATTGAGTATGTGGATAAATCTCCTATGGATAATTTGAGAAGATGATCCGAAAGGAAGATTTGGGCTGGTGGATAAAGACGGAGGCCAGCCAGCAGGATACCTGGCTGCCGTCGGAACGTCTTTTTGGCGTCGCCAGGCATGCCATTCAGAGCCTTGCATCACTCTCGAATATTTCTCCTATTAAACGATATAAATAAAATACACTTATTTTAATTTTACAGGGCTTAATTTTCACCTGTTAATCCTCTTTCTCCAACCGAGCAAAATTAAGTTGCATGCCTTCAACAATTGAAGCAGAGAGAAAAATCTTCTCTTTGTTTTCCTAACATTCCCGGAATATCCTGGCTCTTAAAAAAAAAAAAATTAGCAACAGCTTTGACCAAGCTGTTCCTCTGTATAGTAACATGCCATTCCCTGTTCTCCTCCTCACTGGCATATATGCGAAGGAAAAAAGTTGAATACTTCCTAGTTGTGAAAGGTGATTTTTGAGAGTGCTTCCCAGTGTTTTTATATCATAGAACATCAAGAAAAAATGACAAGGAGAATGTAATCCACTAAAAGAGCATGGGAGAGGTTTGATTTGGCTGTATCTACAGAAATGATGTGAGAAGGTTCTTCTTTATATTTCCACACCTTCTTTTAATAAAATATAACAAATATAAAATCTACCTTATTAAGAAAAATATTAAATGCTGAATTATCTCAAACTTGTAAATAATGTCTTTTTTTAAACTGTTAAAGAGAAACTTGAGCTAGATCTCACACAAAAAAAGTCCATACCTCGATTTGTGCTCAAAATATGACACTTTTCTAATCAAAAGTTTTTAAATGATGCAGTTTCTGAATTCTTGATAATTAGCATCATGGAGATCTTTGCACACGAAGGGAGTGAAGGCCTAATCATGCTTTTTATACGAGTTAAAATGATGCGTGAAGACCTTGCCGGGCTCCTCTTCTGCCTCCACTAATGAGCTATAATATTGAATTGTCTAGGATAATGGAAGTAGAATGTTGACCCATGTTGACTCTTTTACATATCATATACTTCAAGACTTGATGAAGTCATAATAAAAAAAAAAAAATCCATGTGCTAAAAAAAAGTCCTTAGTTGCTAAGTTAGTCAAAGGGCACATTAGTCACAGACACAGAGAAGTGCCTGATATAGTCAAAGCTCAAACTTTGGAGCTTTCATTCAGAGCTATCACCCAGGATCACAGTTCCTCCCTCCAGCACCTTTCCTTCAGCTGGTGCCTTCTGGGCATTGTGCCCTGCCCCAGGCATCCTGGAACATCAGCTTTCCAGCAATTACAGGGGTCTCTTGACAACAGCAGGGCCCGTCACACTTTCAGTTGGCTGCTGAAGTCCTTCCTGGTTCCACTGAACACATGGCCAAAGACACCATTGTGCTCGCCTCCCATGGGGATAGAGAACACAGCCAAACTCTAGCAAAGCCCAGGCTACTCTCAAGGGACCCTTGTCCAGTTATCTCACAGCTAAAGGCTGCCCCAAGGTCATGTCTCAACTGCTCCTCTAACACTGAGTGGATCAACATTCCATGTTGCATCTGTAACTTTTTTGAGGCTGGGACACATGAGCACTTCTGCTTTGGTGAGCTATGCTGTGGGTTTCCATTAAACAGACAGTATGAGTATCCAGTCTGATATTTTGATATTCTCTTATTTTATTTCTGCTCCCCACAAACGTCTTCCTTAAGTTACATTAAGTATTTTTTTATTCTGTGCTGTTTCTGAACTGATCTTTACTTTCAAGTCATCTCAGAGTGACTTGGTCATCTCAGAGTGTATATACTGTTCCCTCTGTTTGTGAGCTCCTCCCTCAGATGTTGTAGGATGCTGTGTTACATGAGAAGAGACTACCTGGTGTGGCACTTTTTGGTGTAAAGGAGAAAATCCAAAGCCTCATTTCCCAGTGTTTGGGAGACAAGCCCTAGTTGTTCCTTTTGCCTTTTGGCTCCTGATTTGTGACTGGTAAATCTTCAATATTCTCTAACCGGCACTTTGGATATAGATCAATGAGTTGGGCTAGTGTACTTCTCCACTCTGAAAACAAGTCAGGATAAACATTCCTTTAGTGCCTCCTGGATTTCGGCCCTGCTCAAATGAATCAGTCTAACACGTTCTTCTGGTCACCTCCTGGGCTAATTGTCATATCCAAATCTAGTGCCAATGTCAGAAATGGGGGAAAATCAAGAGTGAGTGTTGGTTTATGCTGTGCAGAGAGGTTCCAAGGGGAACACCAGCCGCTGACCTTGTCTACAGGAGAACTGGGTCTAAAGAATCAAAAAGTTACTGAGTAAGTGGTTCAAGTCACTCAAGACAACCTGACAGAAAGATTTAAAAGTACAGGATTCAGGTTCTTTGCAGTGTAGGAGTTTCGGTTTAGCCGTGCTAAAACCAAGGTGAGAGCTAACATTTAGAAAGTACCCCCTAAACCCAAGTATGCACACTCAGGATGCTCCACATGTCTTTGCTTTAACATTCATGTCCTTCACGGCTGACCTGGACTTAAGTTTTGACTACATGTAAGCTGTATGCCCTTGGAAAATTAGAATATCCTCCCAAGTCTCCGTTTCCCACAATATACAAAGATAAGGATGTAATAGCACATAGCAGTGTCTGAGGGTTAAATTATAAAAGGCCTAGAAACTCAGTGTGTGGCACCCCTTAGTTACTTGGCTGATGCTAGCAATTGTGATTACAGTGGTCCCCTTTTTTGTTAGTGCTTCTGTTGAACTTTCTGCTACAGTGAGGCTTGTTTACTTGTCATATCTCAGTTACCCATCATGCACCAGGCTCCATATGGGTCCCCACTGCCCTCATGGAATATCCTCCTCTCTTCCTTATCACTCCCCAAGTTCATCACAGTCATGTTCAGATGGCACCCGTGCATCTTCTTCGTTATGCCACCTAACCACAATTTGGTCCCAAATAGACACAAAGCTGTCATAGTATGATAATTGTGAAGAAATCGTAGTTTAGACTAGAGACTTGGTAGGTGGAGAGCAGATGGAGTGGATGGAGAAACTGCTAACTGCTGTCCTTTAGGGAAGAACTAGATGCTGGGTAACAGCGAAGGCTCTGCTTTTTTTTTTTTTTTTTTTTGTACCTTTTGAATTTTGTGCTGAGTGCAACCAGAAAGAACAGAAGTGAGAGGAAGAAAGGCTTCAGGTCCCCACAGGAGGAAGAACCAGCTTCTATTATTGCTTTTAAAATAGAAGCTGGAGTTTTCTAAATGATTATTTATGAATTAAAAAGAATCACTTGCAGTTGAAAGAAATGTGAACAGATAATTAGATATATAAGACAATGGCTTAGAAGATGCAGGATTGGAGATAGGAGTTTCCAGAGGGTCAATTCTCATTCTCTCTCTCTCTCTCTCTCTCTCTCTCTCTCTCTCTCTCTCTCTCTCTCTCTCTCTCTGCAGTGGACCAAACTCCTGGTCCATTGTTCTGTAAGCAGAAAGAAAGCAAGGATAGTGATAGTTTTCTAGGAATTGCTGTTTTAGCTTCTCCAAACTTGGTAATCAGTAATACATCTGCATAAAATAAGTTTGGATACCCAGATATAGCATGTTCTAAGGAACTGCTTTATAAAGGAAAAAAAATAGAGCCAGTGAGATGGCTCAGCAGGTAAAGGCTCTTGCCTCCAGGTTTGATGACCTGAGTTCAATCCCCAGGACCCACATGATGGAAGTGAACCAACTCCCACAAGTATCAGAGAGAGAGAGAGAGAGAGAGAGAGAGAGAGAGAGAGAGAGAGACAGAGACACAGAGAGACAGACAGACAGAGACAGAGAAAGAAAGAGACTGAGAAAGAGAGGGACATGACAGAGTATAAACAAATATAACAATAACAACAATAAAATAACAAAATGACAGCCAGCAAAAAGCCTGAGGATTCGCATGACTTAAAAGTTTTGAAACAGATGATGTTATCATTCAAAAGTCATTTTAAATCTGATTTTCTGTATCCGACGTGGCTTTACGGTTGCACAAGATTCAGCCTTAAAAGATTACGACATTATTTGGTGCTATATTGAAACAGGTATAGAAGAAGGAAGTTTTGTGTCTGTGTTCACTTGTAGCTGAAATTGTCCAGGAAATTACTGAAAGAATGCTATTTTAAAATCCAACAAAGCTGGACAGTGGTGGTGCACGCCTTTGATCCCAGCACTTGGGAGGCAGAAGCAGGCGTATTTCTGAGTTCGAGGCCAGCCTGGTCTACAGAGTGAGTTCCAGGACAGTCAGGGCTACACAGAGAAATCCTGTCTTGAAAAAAAAAAATCTAGATCTTATGTAAGAAGCGTGTGAGGTGCTTAGGACAGAGTAAGGTGACCATACCCAGCCTCCCTCACCCAGAAGTGCCACAGCAGACAGCACAATATCTGGGCATGAAGGAGCCTGGTGACTACAAAAGACTCTGGGGCAAGAGACCAAGTCTCTTGAGACTAAAACATATTTTGTTTCTTCTAATCATAAGCATATATAAGTATGCAAACACACCAGACATTTGGGGAAAGAACAACAGAAGAACAAAAGGAGAAATTATTTGCTTGTTTTGAGATAGGCTTTTGCTGTATACATAGCCCAGGCTAGCCTTAAGCTCAGGATTCTCCTTCTCAAGTGCTGGGATGATGGG